CGCTGGATTCATAGGCATGGCGGGTATTGGCTTCATCAAACAGGGTGGTACCATCGCCGTAGTTCCAGAGCAGGGTATCATAATCCCTGGAGGCCATTGCCTGAAAATCGATGCCAAGACCCTGGCAAAAGCTGGTATCACTGATGGTAAAGGAAGCAGAAGGCGCTGCCACCACCACAATTGTTTTCCGGGCAGTATCGGTACATGGCACCTGGTCGCCAACTACGTGGATCACTTCATAAACACCTATTGCTGTATAAGTATGCGTGGGGTTGATACTGGTGCCGGTGGTGCCGTCGCCAAAGTCATAATAATAGGTTGCTGTGCTGGTTGTCTGATCACCGCTGTTATCAAAGGTGACCGATTCGCCCAGGCAAACCGAATCTTTATCGCTGGTAAGGCTGGCAGAGATCGGGTGTCTTGTATCCACCACAATACTGGCAGAATCCGCACAACCTCTTTTTTTAGTCAGCAGCTTAACGGTGTATCGTCCCTGGGCGAGGTAACCATGGGTAGGGTTTTGTAACCTGCTAAACGCTCCGTCACCAAAGTCCCAGATATATTCATCCGCGATATCACCGTTGTCAATACCGGTAAAGTCCACCGAATCTACTTCGCAACCCAGGCGGGGAACGTGCGTGATAGATGGCTGTAAATTAGTAACGCGCAGATGAACAGAATCTTTGGCCGTGCATATCTGGCGGAATTCAATATCGTCAATAGCGAAGTCATTACCGCTGGGCGCTGTTTGCTGATCCACTACACAGATGGTAATAGATGTATTGGTACCGCTGTTCCACAGGGCATGAAATCGAACCCATTGCCCGGTAGTAGTTGGCAGTGCGAGCGGCGTACCCAATAATACATTGTCAATAGAAAACTGAAGGATGGCTGGCGATCCTGCTACACAGCTGGCGCCCCAGGCACTGAAGTCATATTGGGTATTGGGCAGTACGGTAATCGTCTGGCACCATACACTGGTATTGGGAGTAGACGATCCGTTTACGATCAGCATCTGTCCGCCGGCATTGCCGGTATGATCCGGGAAGCTGGCAAAGTTGGTATGAACGAGGCTGGGGTTGGTAGATACAGCATAAGTACCTTCATTGGAAAGCAGCCCGAACGATCCGCCGGTACCCAATGTATAAGCCGTGCTAAAGCCGGTATTGCCGCTGCTGAAATCTCCGTTCACCACATAATTCATAGGTGTCAGGGCCGTTACATTCAAGGTATAAGTCTGGGAGGTGGTACCTACGGTAGCAATAGGGTTAATGATGTCCGGATTGTTCAGACCCGCAGCCGGCGTCCAGAAGGTATCCAGCGTCACCAGGAGGCCGGTGGCCGAAACGGTGGCCGACAATGGCACCGTGGTGTTTTTACAGACATCAATGGTATCCGGCAAGCCGCTTATCGTAACACATTGGGCATCAGCCTGCTTGTGTTCCAGTAAAAAAGCACCGACGAACAATAAAAAAAACGGTAAAAATCTGTTCATGTCGCAAATATATTCTCTATTATCAGGATTTTAACAAGTGTTATTTTGTCAATACCAGTAAGGCAATGATTATCACCAACAACACGAAGAAGGCGATGAAAATCCGGAATGATTTTTCACGCTGCTCCTTTTCTTTTCGCTCTTTCAACAAAGCCTGTATCGCATCTTTCAGCGACGCATCATTCCCGGCCAGTATCATCAGCCGGTCTATTACGGGCGGCAAACGGTCTGTTCTTAAACCGGTAATGGCTGCTAAAACATCATTGACCATCTCAGGTAATAAGGTGCTGCTCTC